TGGAAGTGGAGTCGCCTGGATATTTCGACGCCCATCCTCCAGGGGATCCGAGCATTTGGCAGTTGAGTCGCCTGGATATTTCTACGCCCATCCTCCAGGGGATCCGAGCATTTGGCAGTGGAGTCACTTGATCCTCCGTGGGATTCGAGCGTCTGGCAGTTGAGTCGCCTGGATGGATTTAGGTGTCAACGTGGGCGAGCCGTTTGCGCTAGCTCCTCTGGGCTTGCGCCTGCGAGCCCAGCAGGCCCGGCGTGAAACCACTGGCCGACGGCGACGACGACCTCATCCCCTATCCCCTCTGCTCCTCCTCTCGGTCGTGGGTGGGTGTGATGGTGGTGTTGTGCGCCGAACGCCGCAGGATGGGCTCTTTCCCAGACATGTGCATCGGTGCTGATCGTAAGTAACGCGCGCCTCGTCTTCTCCGTCGTCGTCGGCGCGGTCGTAATATGTGTGGTTCTCTGCTCGGGTCGTGCTTCCCCGATGCAGAGACCATCGCCACCTCATCCTCCCTCCCCAGATATCGGGCGTCTCGAAAAAATCGAGACGGAGGTTTTTCGTCGTTTTTGACCTCTGGGGGCCCTTGCCGGGCCTCGGGACCGTCAAAAAACGACTCGGGATGAAGAACCGGTCCCAGGGAAGTGGTCGGGAGGTCGGGGGCCCGCGTCTCGAAAAAATCGAGACGTCGGATGTCTAGGTCCTGGAGGCAACATGTGGGCGATAACTAGTGGATTTAGCATCGCTGTATTTCCCTGCTCTGCGGTGCTGGTGGGGTCTGCTCGGCACAGGCCCCCTGAGGGGCAGCGGGCTTGTCCTGCCCCCATGCGGGGCGTTCCAAAATGGCTTCACCTTTGAGGATCGAAGGAGTTGTCATCTCTTCCGCCGCGGAAGGCGGCGGAAGGTCGGCGGAAGTACAACGAGGCCGCATCCGCCGGCCGAAGGCAGTGGAAGGGCGGTGGAAGGTGGCGGAAGTCAAACGTGCGCCCCCAAGAGATGACCACATGTTCGGGTTCAGGGTGTCCGGAATCGTCCGTGTGGGCTTTCTTCCCTCCCCTGCCTTTGGCCGTCCGCCAGCTCTTCCCTTGTTGGGCCGGTGTGCTCCACGCCATGCGCTTTGGGCCCTGGCCTGGCTCGCGCGCTTTGTTCCGTTCCTGCCCCTGGCCGGCCGCCATCTCTCGCTGAGCGGGCGTGCCCCGTGCCGTGTGCCCCGGTTCGCGCCGCGTGCGTCGCGCCCGAGGCCGCTGCACGGTCGCGCACGGCCGCGCACGCGAGGCCGCCCCGCCCAGGCGCCTGCAGTGGAGGCCCATGCCAAGGAGCACCTTGCTCGCCTCCAGGAGGAGGAGGGAAGAGGAGGAGGAGGAGGGGGAGGAGGAGGAGGAGGAGGAGGAGGAGGAGGAGGAGGAGGAGGAGGAGAGGAGGAGGAGGAGGAGGAGGAGGAGGAGAGGAGGAGGAGAGGAGGAGGAGGAGGAGGAGGAGGAGGAGGAGGTGTCCTGGGTCTCGGTGGCTCTGCTGTGGAGGGCGTGGCGTCCCCGCACCAAAGCTCGATGGACGCCCTGGGGTCTCAGGGTCGGGTCTCTCGCGGGAAGATCTCTGGCGGACTGGTCTCCGCTGCGTCTGCAATCCCGCGCTGCTGCATGTCTCTGTGGCCCTTGTTCGTGGGCTGGCTCGGAAGGGACCAGGAGCCGCGCAGGAGCCGAGTCCGCACTGGTCAGGGTGCTCCTCGCTCCGGGGGCCTTCTTCCCCCGGCGAGGTGGGCAACCAGCGGTGCGAGTCCATGCGCATCGCCTGCGAGCAGGCGCGTCTGCGCGAGGAGGCGGCGGTGGCCTACGAGGACCATGTCGCCCTCGCGGTCGCCGGCGGCCACGACGATGGCGACGACCATGGCGACGACCACGGCGACGACTGCTTCGACGACGGCGGCGGCGGCGTCGACGAAGACGGCGGCGGCCAAGACGGCGACTGCGATAATTATCGACGACGTCTCCAGCGCCGCAGTCCCCGCCGTCACTGGTCGCCGACCTCGTCGTCGTTGTCGCTGCCATCAGCGTCATCGCCGTAGTCGTCTGTGGCGCCTTTGGCGGCGCTCTCGGCGCGCCCCTGGCGGTCTTCGCCCTCTCTGCGCATCCGAGGGGGCTCCTCGTCGCCCTGGCGTGGTCCCCTTGGAGATCCGAGCCAGAGCTCACCATTAGAAAGGTCTGGAGGTCGAACAGATCAACAACCCTCGGTTGCCCTCGGCGGCCTTGGACAACCTTGGGCGGCCCGAGAAAAGAGCTCGCCGCCGTCGCCGCCGTCGTCGCCGTCGCCGTGGTCGTCGCCGCTGCCGTCTGCGCCGTCGCCGTGGTCATTGCCGTCGCCGCCGTTGTATTCGTCGTGGTCGCCGCCGCCGTCGTCGCAGCCGTCGCCGTGGTCGTCGCCGCTGCCGTCGTCGTCGTCGTCGTCGTCGTCGTCGTCGTCGTCGTCGTCGTCGTCGTCGTCGTCGTCGTTGTCGGCGTCGCCGTCGTCGTCGTCATCGTCGTCGTCGTCGTTCCCGTCGTCATCGTCTGCGCCGTCGATGTCGTCGTCTTTTCCGTCTTCGTCGTCGTCGGCGCAGGTGGAGGTACGAGAAGGGGGGAGTTGGGGCTGGCGGGTGCGGAGAATGAGGAGGAGGAGGAGGAGGAGGAGGAGGAGGAGGAGGGGATGTAAGAGCGTGTGGGTGGGTGAGGAAGAGAAGGCACAGGAGGAATATATGGGTGATGAACTATACATGGAGGATGATAAGGCGTAAGGGGGCGAAGAGGGTTGGGAATTAGCGGTCCTGGTGTTAGAATACCAGTGGTGGTATTTGTCGTTCTTGCGAGCGTGGCATGTGCGAGGTTGCAGATCTGTTGTATACAGTAATGGGTTTGAGTGATTGTAAGTTGTCGTCCAATTGTTCGCTTCGGGTGTGGTGTGGATAGGTACTATGAAGGTTGACGTGATCGGATTGCAGTGCTGGAACTGGTGCCGTCGTCCTCCTGATCCTTCTTGCTCTCGTGGTGGCCTGTTTTTCTGGTCTCGGATGATATGGTCGATGCTATTCCACGGTGGTGGCCCAGCGTTCAAGCCCCCGAGAGAGGTATGTAGTTTTCTCGTCCTTCTCGTCGTCCTCCTCATCCTCTCCTTCTCCTCTCCTCTCCTCATCTTCCTCATCTTTATTTTTCTCTTCTACTCCTCATCCTCTCCCTTCCGCCTCCTCCTCCGTTCTCGTGCTCGTCCTTCTTCCATCTTCCTCTTTCCATCCTCCTCCTCCTCCTGACCACCCTCATCCCCTCCAAAATTGCCCCCTGGACTTGCCCCGTGGCGCGTTTCGACCAGAATCTCCGGGGGGAGATAGCCGCGGCGACGAGCAGTTCCCCCACCCCTCGGAGGCCCAAGGGAGCCACGCGTGTCCAACACCCTCGATCCTCGAACCTCGAGCCTTTTCCCTCTCAGCCCTCGACCCTCGAACCCTGGGCCTCGAACAGGTGTCCAATCACCCCGAGCCTCCACCCTCGAGCCTCGAGCCTCGCGCCTCCTCCCTCCCCTCCGCGCCAGCAGCACGGCGGCCAGCACGGCATGTTCGCGCCGGGGCCGCTGCAGCGCAGCCTGCGGCCGCCCTCCGGGCTGCCGCTGCCATCCCAAGAGGGGCTGCCGCTCGACCCGCCGAGAGCCGCTGCCCCATTCCGCGCGCGCGGGCCTCGTCGCCGTCGGCCTCGCGGACCCCTCCTCGGCCCGCTCGGAGTCCACCCCGGGCGCCGGCCTCCAGGCCTCCCTCACCACCCACCAAACCACCCCAACCCAACCCGAAGGCTCAGATTTACCCTCGATTTCCAGTGGGGGGGCGTCGGGGAACATCGACAAAACACATGTGGAACCCTTACCCCCCCCAACCCGAAATTCGGGTCTTCGGGTTGGGTTGGGGTGGTCTGGTAGGTAGTCATCCCCGGGGGGGCCGGGGCAGAGGCGGGTCGGAGGATGGCGCCGCATCGCCGATGCATCGGCGGTGCGGCTCGATGTGAAGCCCGAAGTCCTTCACGCCGACGTCGCCGAGGCATCGCCCGCGTCGGCGGTGCATCGCCGGTGCATCGCCCGTGCATCGCCGGTGCATCGCCGATGCATTGCCGATGTATCGGCGATGCGGCAGGATCCCCCGACCCCATCTTCTCCGGCCCCATCAAGGAGGCCTCTAGTTTCGGGACGATCGACATGGGTACGGAAGGGATGGGTACAAAGACCGACAGTTCCTGTTCATTTAGAGCAGGGTTCGCTGTGGGTGTGGCCGCGGCCTGTGTCTGTTTTTGAGACAGAAGGCTGCCTGCCCAACAGCGGCCGCTGTTGGTTTGGGACATCATTAGTTGTTGGGCATTGTCCCATTTCTTTCCGTACCCATTTTGGGCGGCCGGAGGTCGGGAGACAAGGTAGCGCAAGCAGGCGTCTCTCCCCCCCAGGGCGCTGGCCCGCCGCCGACCCCGATTGCGTTGGCTTATGGGCCCCTCGGTGTGGCCACGCTCGCGGTGAGGCGGTCATGACCCTGAGGGGCCTTTCACCGCATGGACAGTCGATACTGATGATGATGATGATGATGATGATGATGATGATGATGATGATGATGATGCTCCTGATTATGATGATGAAGATCCTGATGATGATGATGATGATGATGATGATGATGATGATGATGATGATGATGATGGTGGTGGTGATGATGATGATTATGCCGCTGATGATGATGATGATGATGATGATGATGATGATGATGATGATGATGATGCTGGTGGTAATGATGGTGATGATGCTGATGCTGCTGCTGATGTTCTCCCTCGAGGCTGGAAGGGGTGGATCGCTGTGGGGGAAGCGGGTCCTGAGGGAAACAGGTCCTGCGTTAAGTCGGGCCTGTCCCTTTACAGGGGGATTTTCGACGAAAGACAAAAAACAATCAAGAAATAGTCCAAAAATAGTCTGGGGACTGTTTTTCGAGTATTGTTTGACCTGCTTGGGGTATTTGTTGGGGTATTTCTTTAATTTTTCGTCGACAATCCCCCTGTAGGGGGACACGCCCGACAGAAAGGTCCCGCGGTGTCTCGCCGTGTTCGGTCTCCCGCGGGGCCCTCCGCGGGCCCCCCCCCGGACCGTCGGACCTCGCCGGCGCTGCCTCCCTCGAGGCCGGAGGGGGCGGGTCGCCACCGCGGGGGGGGGGGGGGCAGGACTCCAGAGACCCACGAGGGGTCGGCGGATTTTGAGAAAGGGTGAGGTCGAGGTTGGAGGGGGCGGGTCGCCACTGGGGGGGGGGGGGAGGGGGCAGGACTCCAGAGACCCACGAGGGGTCGGCGGATTTTCAGAGAGGGTGGGCGGGTGGAACTCCAGGTCCCCCTTCTGGAGGCTCAAGCATTGGTTCTGAGGCCCTCGTGGGGCGCTCCATGGGCGCCCCTGGGGCGCACCTGGGGCCTGTCTCGGGGCTTTCCTGCTGAGCCCCTCTCGGGGCTCTCTTGGGCCCCAGACGCGAGGGTGGCCTCTCGCCGGAGTGAGCTTCGGGGCAGGGGAACAGTTCGTAAACACCCCCCCTGCCCCCCAAACTCAAAGTTGGCGCGCGCAGGGGGAGACTGCGGTCGAGGTGCAACTCATCGGACCCACCGCCAACTTTGAACATTGGGGGGAGGGGGAGGCGTTGGCAGATGAATGTGGCATGAGTGTTCGCTATTTTTTTGTTTCCGAGGCCTGTTCGTTTCCGTCCTTTTCGGGGCTCTCGGGAGGCCCTCGTCGCCACCGCTGGAGTCGCTTCGAAATTCTGGTCAGACCGCACTCGGGGAGAGGTCCGGGGAGGGTCGACTAGACGTAAGAGTGACATTTCGCCAGAGTGGCCTTTGGTGCGGGCCCAACGGGTCGCGATGGGGGAAGTGGGTCCATGGATCGCCATGGGGGAAACGGGTCCTGAGCATACATGCCTCGATACCACCGTCTTGAGACGCAACACGTACCGTGCTTTAAACGCCCCTGTCAATACGTTTCGCGTTGGCTCAGCGCATTGGCCCACGTTTTGGCGGACGTATCGCGTCAGACCTGCGTGGACCTACGTTGAGCTCCGTATCGATACGCTACGTGTCGCGTGTTTACGTATCGGGGGGGCTGCGGTCCTGAGGGACATGGGTTCTGAGGTGTTCAGCCGCGCGCAGAGCGGGGTGGGGGGAGGGGGGAGGTCTTCTTAGAAGCACCCCTGCTTCTCAGAAGGCGCGGGCCTTCCCTAGAAGTGTAAGGCCGGCGCCTTCTAAGAAGCAGCCTCCTTCTAAGAAGCCCTCCCCCCTCCCTCCACCCGCTTTCAGAGCCCCGAAGCATCAGGGGTAACTCGGGTCAGGGATAACTCGGGTTCGTTTTTCGGGAATCCAAACCCGAGTTACCCCGGACCCGAGTTATCCCGGATAACTCGGGCGTCCAGAGCCCCGAATCATCAGGGGTAACTCGGGTCAGGGATAACTCGGGTTCCTTTTTTCGGGAATCCAAACCCGAGTTACCCCGGGCCCGAGTTACCCCGGATAACTCGGGCGCCCAACGCTTGTGCGCGCCGCCAAGGTTTGTCGCCCTTTTTCGAGCTCTTGGGGCCCTCCACGGGCCCAGGGAGGGTCCGAGAACGGCTCGGGAGGAGGCTCTCGTCCCGGGGGGAGGCCCCAGAGGGTGTCCAGGGCACGGGGCCCAGGAATACACACCACCGCCACCCTCCTCGCCCCCCTCCCCTCGTCGAGGGGCGGCTCGGCGATGCACCACACACCACCTCCTCCTCGTCGAGCGGCGGCTCGGCGAGGCAGCGTCGACGGCCGTCGCTGCTCCGAGGCAGTTCAGTGTGTGAGTGCTGTGGACTGCTGGGCCTCCGGGCCATTCAGAGCAGGCAACAACAACAACAACAACACCCCCTCCCGCTCCCGCGAAAGAAGAGTGGAAGATGAGGGTAGGGGAGGGTGGAGGAATCGACGTGGTGGTGATGTATATCCGTGGGGTCCGTACGGGACTCGTTTCCCTCAGGGCCCGTTTCCCCCAGGCTGAGTGGAGCCCGCAGCGCTTTTCTCTCGAGGGGGGGCCTCATCTGGGACCAGGGGGGGGCCAGATCCATGCACTGCACCCGCTCCGACGTGGCACGCTCGGCGCTCGCAGTTCACGTTTGCGAGAGTTCGCTCGTGGTTTGGGCCCCGAGCTTCCCAGACCCCCCCTCCCCTGGCATTTGGAAGAGCCACGCCATGCATGTTGGACCGCGACGCCAGGGATTCGGGTTGGCTCCTCGGCCCCACCTCTCCTCACACCTAGTTCCTCGTCGTTTTCGTTGTTGTGTCGGCTCACCTCTTCAAGACCCTGCTTGCTTTCTTCCTCACCAGTTGTTCCATATTGAGGTTGCTTTCCGTGTAGCACTCCCCGTCCTCCCCGTGTCCTTATCATTTGCTTGCGCCCTCCTCATCATCGTCCTCCTCGTTCTTCTCAACCTCTCCTGCATCCCTTCTCCTGCTTGTGATTATTGCCAACTTCCCGTTCCGCCTTCACATGCATGTTTTCTCTTTCAAGCGTCTTCCATTCCTATGCCTATCAACTCCTGCAGCACATTGGCGTTCGGTTGTGATGCTCTGGCCACACGCCTTCATGTTCCAACTTGGGAGCAGGAAGATACCTGAATTGAGGCTTCGAGGGTTATCAGTACCACTTGCCAAATAGGCAGTCTCGTCTCGCTGTCACGCGCCGCTCTGAATAGAGAGAGCAGGCCTGCAATGTATCTATGCCACTGTTGGACCCGCGTCGCGGACCAGCTGCGCCCTGGTCACCACTCTCCATTGACTGGTATGCCTCGTCGCGTGTCAACGTGTGTTGTATGTGTTCCTGTCGTTAGCACTTCTTGCTTCTGCACCCACTGACAACCATAGTTTTGCACTGTCGCAGTTCTTCCTGGGATGGTTGGGAACCTCTCAGAGCCCTCGTGAATCTCCCAGCGCCTCCCCGAAACACACATTCTCCTTGCCTAGGACGCCGCCGCATGCAGTCGTGAGCACAGCACCTGTGCACATCGCCATCGGCGGAGCTCCCCGCGTGGCCAAGAAGCTCGTGAGAGGCGTGCCGACGTGGGCCCTGCCACTGGGGCGCTCGGTGGAGCTCCCCGTGGGGCCGCGGAGCGCGCGAGGGGCACGTCGGAATGGGCATGGGGGGCGCCTGCGGGCCCTGCCACGTGCGGTGCGGCTGCCCACGGAGCCCCGAGGCGCGGGAGGGGTGTGCTCGCATGGGCCCGGGAACGCATGCGAGCTGTGCCACCGGGGCCTTCGGTGGAGCTCTCTGCGGGGCCACGAAGCGTGTGGTGTGTGTGTGTGTGGGTGTGATGTGTGTGTGTGTGTGATGTGCGTGTGTGTGTGCCGAAAGGGGTTGGGAACCACATGCGACCGCCTCCTGAGGGCTCCGGTGGAGCTCAGCGTGTGGTACCACGCAACGTCTGCGGGGGGTGCCGAAACTGGTAAGAGCCGAATGCGGCCACGAAACGTGTAGGGGGCCTGCCGACATGGGGGAAAGAATCGCATGCGAAACCCCTTTCCTGGGGGCGTCGGTGGAGCTTTCTATGGGGCCACGCAGCGTGTGAGGGGTGCGCCGGACCTGCCCCTCGTGGGGGCTTCGGCGGAGCTCTCTGTCGGGCCACGGATACCAAAATGGATGAAGAGCCTTATGCAAACCCTTCCTACTGGTGGCTTTGGTGCAGCCCCCAGTGGGGCCACGAAACGTTTGAGGGGTGTGCCAAAATGGGTGGAGAACCGCATGCGAACCCCCCTCCTGAGGCTTCGGTGGAGCTGCCTGTGGTGCCACGAAAAGTGTGAGGGGTGCGGAGAAGCCCTCCTCCTGGGGGGTCGGTGAAGCTTCCTATGGGGTCACGCAACGTGTGTCAAAACCTTTCCTGGGGGGCTCGGTGGAGATCCAAATTGGGTCACGGAACGTGTGAGGGGTTGGCCGAACCACGTTCAACATCTCTTTCTGGGGGCTTCGGTGGAGCCCCTTGCGGGGCCACGAATCGTGTGAGGCGTGTAGAGAACGGTGCAAAATCCCCTCGTGGGGCCTTCGGCAGAGCTTCCTATTGAGTCGTGAGGGTGTGGAGAACCACATGCAAAATCCCCTCGTGGGGCTTTCGGTGGAGCTCCCCGTGGGGCCACGACACATGTGAGGTTTGTGTGTGTGGACAAACACATGCAAAACCCCTCCTGGGGCCTTCGGTGGAGCTCCTATGGGACCACGGAACTTGTGAGGAGTGTGGAAGCCACATGCAAAATTCCCTTCTGGTGCCTTCGGTGGAGCCCCCATGGGCCCCATGGGACCACGAAACGTGTGAAGGGTGTGAAGAACCACATGCGAGACCCTCCTCCTGGGGGCTGGGCTTTGGTGAGGCTCCCTATGGGCCAACCAACATGTGAGGGGCGTGGACAATAACATATCCCCTTCCCCCTGGAGGCTTCGGTGGAGCTCCTTATGGGGCCACGGAACGTGTGAGGGGTGCACCGGCATTCTTGACATGGGACGTGCAAGGACCGGGACGGGGAGGAGGGGAGGAGGGATAATGGAGGAAGAGGAGAGGAGAGGAGGGGAGAGGAGGGGACATGAGAGGAGCCGCGGGGGGCTGTCTCTTCAAAACGAGTACCCAACACCACAGGATGGTTCGGAGCAGAAACAAACATCACACAATCCCGTCGGCATTCCTGTAACCCCTCCTCCTCCTCCTCCTCCTCCTCCTCCTCCTCCTCCTCCTCCTCCTCCTCCTCCCCCTCCTCCTCCTCTCCTCCTCCTCCTCCTCCTCCTCCTCCTCCTCCTCCTCCTCCTCCACTCCGCACTTCCCCCCCCCCCAAGGATCCATAGGAGCGTTTGGCAACCTCCTGGAACACCCTACCCCGCTCCTGTGATGCGTCCCTAGACCGTCCAGCCTGAGCCCAACCTGGCCTTCCTCTCTCCCCTGACCCGGTCCGGAAGATAGCAGGCCCTTTCCGCGTATTGCTTTTACAGCGGATTATAAGCATTGGCTTCCCTTAAAGTTCTTGCAACCCGGTTGGTTTCGGTGTTTTTCCAAATGGTGATCCCGCTGCAGCGTTGGCCTCATTTTCGAACGGGCGCTTTGCTCCCGTCGTTCAGAATGGCGCTCTCGCCTCAGCGCGGGCCACGCTTATGGATCTGAGTCCTTTTCTACTTCTGTCGCCCCCCTCATTCCCCTTCCTCCGCCTTCCCCTGGTCCTCTTTGTTCCTCTCGCTCCGTCCACTCCAGCTTACACTGCTGCTGTTCGTCCTCGTCTTTTTCCTTCTTCGTCCTCCGTACAACGGATGGGCCCGACTTGCTGCGACGCGGGATCCGGACATTCACGGCCTCCGGGAAGCAGTCTGCAGACACGGGGGTCAGAGGAAGCGGTGGGAAGACGATCTCACACACATTATGATAGCAAACACGTGTCTCCAACTTGGAAGCGAACGATGGTCTACACTAGCACAGGAAGCACTCAATGGAGCAAGTTGGAACAAGCGTTCCTACGCCACACACAGCACTGACCACAAGTTCCACATCTACGACTGAGGGCCCCGGTCCGCCCGCGCTGGCCTTCCAGGCCCTGCCTTCCCGGCGAACTCAGGCGCGCCTTGCCTTGCCTCGTCCTCCTCCTCCTCCTCCTCCTCCTCCTCCTCCTCCTCCTTTAGATGTGCGCAGCTCAATGTTTACGATTGCTCATAACTCGAAGGGCTCCTCTTTGGAGTTTTAGGTTCGCTATTGAATTGCACGCCTCGGCGGATAGCGAAGAATCAGCGCAGCTGGAAAGGATTGGTGAGAGGGGTAATTAGTATGTTACATATAGCGCGAGCGCAACTAGCTTTTCCCCCCACCCCCTCTCTTCCCCGCCTCTGCTTCCGATGCTTACTCCTCCCCCCCCTCCTCCTCCTCCTCCTCCGTCTCCTCCTCCTCTTCCTCCTCCATCGCTCTTCCTCAGAAAACATTCCTCCTTGTGGCATCCCACGGCCGGTCGAAAGGGCGGGCCGGGCCTTTCGCCTGAGACTCCCTCGCCACCTCTGATTCTGAAATCTGGAACCTGCAACAGCTTCACGGATGGATGGCGGTCCGCTTTGACTCTCGCTTCAGCGCCGCGCGCGCTCGCGTTGAAACCTGGCACGATGTTCACGGATGGAAGGCGGTCCGCTTTGAAGATGCGCGTTTCTCGCCTCCGCGCCGCGCACGTCAGTTTTAACAATCTACACGAGTTTGAAGGATGGAGTGCGGCCCACTTTCAAAATGTGGTCCTCGCCTCCGCGCCGCGCACGTTCGTTTTAACAAGCTACACGGGTTTGAAGGATCGAGTGCGGCCCACTTCCAAAATGTGGTTCTCGCCTTCGCACCGCGCGCACCCGTTTAAACACATTGTAAGCGCTTCGTGGATGGAGGGCGGCATCGCTTTCAATCCGTGGCGTTCGCCTCAGCGCCGCGCGCATTCGTTTTACGAGGCTGCGTCTGTTTCAAGGATTCTCACGGCCAGCGTCCCAGAAATAATATGTTTGACGGTCTCGGAACGTCAGGGCGCAACATTCACGTCGATGCGGTGTGCTGGCGGTGGCGTCTTGGCACGATGCGGGATCGCCAAGGCGCAACGATACCGTTGGTTTGCGGCGCTGACGTCCCAGGCATGGTGTGGCACAGTTCTGGGATTTCGAACGGTTGTCTTCCAGCCGGGCATCTCTTTCCGTGAACATAGAACCCTTGTATGGGGCCTATGGATGGGGCAATTTGGAGGGAGAATTGATCGCAATATCGTCGACAGGTCTTGGCCTGCCTCCTGATCGATGATTGATCGCAATATCGCAATTGATTGCACTGGTCTGCCTCCTCCTCCCCCCCCCTCCTCACGGGCCGCGCCATCATCAGGTGTTGCTAGAAGTCCCCTGGCCCAAGGTGCCCCCAGGATTCTCGGGGTGGCCCAGACGGCCTCCAGAGCACCCCTCACGAGGCCCAGAGGGCCCCACAGCCCCCAAAATGGAGCGAAAAGTTGGGGGCATCTTGGGCCAGGGGCACTTCCAGCAACACCCGATCATCAGCCCACAGAGGGGCTGCCAAGACTTATCCCAGCCTCACCACCACGAGCAGACCCAGCGCCGCCCTACTTTAGCCTTGATCACCAGAAAGAATTTCGAGCATCAGGCAAGTATCGAAATTTGAGAGTTTTCACGTGTCGGGCCCTCGGAGGCGATACTGATTCGACCATGTGCCGGCACTTTTCTGGGCGCTCGAAATTATTTCTGGGATGTGGCCCTTAAGTACGAGGGGGGCAACATCACCCTCGCGCTTCCGCAGGCAGGGGCAGAATAGCGGGACCGTCCCCCCTCCCCCCGCCAGCACCACAGGGGCCGCTTGGGGGAACCCCGAAGAGCTTGTGAAGTGCGATGGGGAAGAGAAGAGGATGAGGGGGAGGAGGAGGAGGGGGAGGAGGAGGAGGAGGAGAAGGAGGAGGAGGAGGAGAAGGAGGAGGAGGAGGAGGAGGAGGAGGGGGGAGGATGAGGAGGGGGAAGGGGTGGGAGGATAGTAAAGAAGGGGGAGGATGGTGATGGGATGAGGTTGGGGAGGAGGAGGAGGGGGAGAGCCCTAGCAAGCCAATTCCCTCTTCCAGACGCCTCCAGAGAAGATTCCCCCGA